GTTCATAGATTAACTTAGGTCTACTAGGATATATATACTTGTACATGATGTAAAGTCTGATAGGTTAGTGCATGCACTGAAAGTCACAACATATATTGATTTCTTAGAATTATTTAATGAATAGTATTACAGTTGTATATGGTTTATTAAATTTGGAATTTGTTTCTCCACTTGGTTTTTATTAGTGGTTTTTATATTTGATATCCGGCTACAGATCACTTTTTGTTGAAATTAAAATTAAATGTAGACTCTCCTTGTGAGTCATCATCAGGATCAGAATTTCTGCAATATAGACAAAAGAGTCAATAACATGACGTTTAGATATTAATAATTTATGTTTATTAATTTTAGATCCTGATCCTGATGATGACTCTGAAAGAAAGTGGAATTATATGTTTTAGCAAACATAATTTATACTAGTAATCAAATTAAATAAAATTTTAGTGGATATAAAACACCAATTTAAGGCACAGTAAAATTATCTGACAAAACTTAGACTTAGGTCATTATAACGAGTCATTATAGGGAAAAGAATGAAACCATAAAAACCATACTAAGAGCTTGTCTAACATTGATGCATAAACTAAAGAAGTCTAGATAGACATAGATTGATATGAATCTAGATAGACAAAGCATTACGGATGAAGAAATAAAATTCTATAATGTCGGTTTAATACCATAATTAATAGAGGAACCTGGACTTGAAGTAACAGTCTCAATCCATAAAGAGATCACTAGAACGCAGTGCGAATTCTACTAACATAATAATAATTACGAAGCAGTAGTTTATGGGGTCGGGTCCTTAACAAATATAGCTACGTTCATGTGAATAATAAACCCTAACTAAATTTTAAAGTATGTTAATGCCCAAGTTGAATCAACATTTTTTTACTTTCACTTTTAAAAAGAAAAAAAAGTGCTCTGATAATAACTATACATTATAGTCGAAATTTTGGTTAGAATAAAATATTATAAAAACAAAAAATTTTTTTAAAGTTTATTATTTAATTATTGACCAATTACCTCGTAAAAAAACAAAATTATTATTAAAAAATACTTAATAAATTGATTAATACATAATTTATACAATATGTATAATTTTTTTTTATACATTCGTCACTGTTCGTTATGTGATAAATTTTAATCATAAAGAATAGCTAAAGGTCAGTGCGTCATCATATTAATTCAAGTCTGCTATTTATATAGATAAATTCTAAATGACGACAACAATAAAGTAGTAAAAATGCTTTATGAATCCAACTTTTGTGTCTAAATATTATATGATATATCTTCTATTACTATTAGACTAATCCGATTTTTTTAGCATAGATTTATATTGATTTTGAGCAGATTTTGTATGAATTTTCTATGAGAAATGGTATGTATTGCTGCATATTTGTCAAGTTAAGCACAATATTCTATATAGATCATTGGTTTCAAAAACAATCGCGTCTACGTTCCGGATCTATTCGTCCATTTTAACAACCAAACACCGTTCACCACCACTACACAATCCTCGCGGGCTAGAACAATAGCAAAACACATCATTGTATTATATTTACGAACGTTTTTCATACACATGTATGGATTTTGTATGGATTTCGTATGAAAAATAGCACATATTGCTGCATATTTATCGATATGCATGCTAAGAGACATTAGAATAGATTCGGTCGAAAATCTATATAAGAGACAGAGCTCTGAAGCTATATGCGAAAACCGATAGGCTGCCTTACTTAGCACTATCTAATTTCAGAGTAATCACTTAACGCACCGGACGGTACGCAGATCTTAGATTAGTCATTGAATAATCATGAAGATTATAAGGCATACACAAATTAGTCAGTGAGATGAGTGGGACTCTGCAGAAACCTCCCCCT